AGACCCTACGAACCCCCAGAACATCAGACCATCACGTAACAACAGAATACGACACAGAGCCAAAAAAAAATCTAGACCCTCACGTAGCCAACATAAATCTACACCGACATGAGCCCAAAAGAAACATCAGACCCTCAATATCCAACAGAACATTAGGGCCATCCTTTGCCAAAAAAAATCTGACCTCACTTAGCCCAAAAGAAACTAGCCATACTTAGCCAAATAACATCTAGCCATCAGTAGCCAACAGAACATCTAGACCCTCCGTAGCCAAAAGAACACTGACCCCCTTTGCCAAAATAACACGTAGACCATCCTTAGCCCAAAAGAAATTTTGGACCATACGTACCAACAGAAATTAGACCACAGTAGCCAACAGAAATCTAGACCACACGTGCCCAAAAGAACATCTAGACCATCAGAGCCAAAAAAATTTAAAAACCCTCCGTAGCCAAAAAGAAAAACAACCCTCACGTAGCCAAACAACATCTAGACCACAAGTATCCAACGGAACACCTTTCCATCATGTAGCCAGCAGAACATCTAGACCCCCATGGCCAAAGAACATCTAAACCCTCACGTAGCCAACAGAAAAATTGATCTCCATAGCCAACAGAAATCTAGACCCTCAATAGCCCAACCAAAATCTAGACCATCACAGAGTCAAAGAAATCTAGACATCAGTAGCCAACGAACATTAGACCTACTTTTAAAAACAAAATATCAGACCATACGTAGCCACAGAAAAAAAGACCATCACTTAGCAAAAAGAAATTAGACCATCACTTACCAAAAAAATCTAGACCATACGTAGCCAACAGAAAAATCTAACCGTCACATGCCAACGAACACCTGACCCTCCTTTGCCAAAAAAAAATTAGACCATCCATAGCCAACAGAAAACTAACCCTCACTAGCCAAAAGAATATAAAACCAACCGTACCCAAAAGAAAACAGACCATCACGTAAAACCCCAAAAAACACAGACCATCACGGAAAAAACAGAATATCAACCATCAGTAGCCAAAAACATTGCCACACGTAGCCAACATAATACTACACCCAAATGTAGCCAAAAAGAACATTAGACCATCACAATCCCAACAGAAAATTAAAACCATCACTTGCCAAAAAAAACTTAGACCATCACTTAGCCAACAGAATATCAGACCATACTACCAAAATAAACTAGCCAAGTAGCCAAAAAAATTGACCATCAGAGCCAAAAGAACACTAGGGCCCTCATTTGCCCAAAAAAACACGGGAGCCATCATTTGCCAACAGAATATTAGACATCAGTAGCCCAAAAGAAATCTGCCATCACGAGCCCAACAAAAAATCTGACCATCAGTGCCCCCCCCAAAGAAATCTAGACCATCAGTAGCCAACGAACATTGGGGCCCTCCGAGCCCCAAAAAAAATTTAAAAAAAAAAAACCCAACCCTAGCCAACGAACATCAAAATCAGTAGCCAAACAAAAAACGACCATCAGACCCAACCAAAACCCCAGTCCCCTCAGTAGCAGCAGAAAAATCTGACCAACCCAACCAAAAAGAAAAACAAACCACGTAGCCAACAGAACATTTGACCACACATAGCCAAAGAACATCAGACCATCACATAGCCAAAAACCCAAAAATCTAGACCCTCACGGGTAACAAACATCTAGACCATCACAGAGTCAACAGAACATCTAGACCATCATGTAGCCAACCAGAAACACTAGGGACCATCACCCATAGCAACACGAACATCTAGACCCATCACTTAGACAACATAATATCTAGACCATCATGTAGCCAACAGAATATCTAGACCATCACTTAGCCAACAGAATATATAAACCAACACGTAGACAACAGAACATCTAGACCATCACGTAACCAACAGAACATCAGACATCACGTAACCAACAGAATATCAGACCATCACGTAGCCAAAAGAATATCTAGACCATCACGTAGCCAACATAATATCTAGACCGACACGTAGCCAACAGAACATCTAGACCATCATGTAGCCAACAGAACACCTAGACCATCACTTTGCCAAAATAACACGTAGACCATCACTTAGCCAACAGAATATCTAGACCATCACGTAGCCAACAGAACATCTAGACCATCACGTAGCCAACAGAGCATCTAGACCATCACGTAGCCAACAGAACATCTAGACCATCACGTAGCCAACAGAACATCCAGACCATCACGTAGCCAACAGAACATCTAGACCATCACATAGCCAACCAAACATCTAGACCATCACAGAGTCAATAGAACATCTAGACCATCATGTAGCCAACAGAATATCTAGACCATCACGTAGCCAAACAGAACATCTAGACCATCACGTAGCCAACAGAACACCTAGACCATCACTTAGCCAAAATAACATCTAGACCATCACATAGCCAACAGAACATCTAGACCATCACATAGCCAACAGAACATCTAGACCATCACTTAGCCAAAACAAGATCTAGACCATCACTTAGCCAACAGAACATCTAGACCATCACTTAGCCAAAATAACATCTAGACCATCACGTAGCCAACAGAACATCTAGACCATCACGTAGCCAACAGAACACCTAGACCATCACTTTGCCAAATTAACATCTAGACCATCACTTTGCCAACAGAATATATAGACCATCACATAGCCAACAGAACATCTAGACCATCACATAGCCAACAGAACATCTAGACCATCACGTAGCCAACAGATCATCTAGACCATCACGTAGCCAACAGAACCATCTAAACCATCCCATAGCCAACAGAACATCTAACCATCACGTAGCCAACACAACATCTAGACCATCACGTATCCAACAGAACACCTAGTCCATCATGTAGCCAACAGAACATCTAGACCATCACATAGCCAACAGAACATGTAAACCATCACGTAGCCAACAGAACATCTAGACCATCACATAGCCAACAGAACATCTAGACCATCACATAGCCAACCAAACATCTAGACCATCACAGAGTCAACAGAACATCTAGACCATCATGTAGCCAACAGAACATCTAGACCATCACGTAGCCAACAGAACATCTAGACCATCACGTAGCCAACAGAACATCTAGACCATCACTTAGACAACATAATATCTAGACCATCATGTAGCCAACAGAATATCTAGACCATCGCTTAGCCAACAGAATATATAAACCAACACATAGCCAACAGAACATCTAGACCATCACGTAACCAACAGAATATCAGACCATCACGTATCCAAAAGAATATCTAGACCATCACGTAGCCAACATAATATCTAGACCGACACGTAGCCAACAGAACATCTAGACCATCACGTAGCCAACAGAACACCTAGACCATCACTTTGCCAAAATAACACGTAGACCATCACTTAGCCAACAGAATATCTAGACCATCACGTAGCCAACAGAACATCTAGACCATCACGTAGCCAACAGAACATCTAGACCATCACGTAGCCAACAGAACATCTAGACCATCACGTAGCCAACAGAACATCCAGACCATCACGTAGCCAACAGAACATCTAGACCATCACATAGCCAACCAAACATCTAGACCATCACGGAGTCAACAGAACATCTAGACCATCATGTAGCCAACAGAATATCTAGACCATCACGTAGCCAAACAGAACATCTAGACCATCACGTAGCCAACAGAACATCTAGACCATCACTTAGCCAACAGAATATCTAGACCATCACGTAGCCAACAGAACATCTAGACCATCACGTAGCCAACAGAACATCTAGACCATCACGTAGCCAACAGAACATCTAGACCATCACATAGCCAACCAAACATCTAGACCATCACGGAGTCAACAGAACATCTAGACCATCATGTAGCCAACAGAATATCTAGACCATCACGTAGCCAAACAGAACATCTAGACCATCACGTAGCCAACAGAACATCTAGACCATCACTTAGACAACAGAATATCTAGACCATCACGTAGCCAACAGAAAATTTAGACCATCACGTAGCGAACAGACTATATAAACCAACACGTAGCCAACAGAACATCTAGACCATTGCGTAACCAACAGAACATCAGACCATCAATTAGCCAACAAAACACCTAGACCATCACTTAGCCAAAATACCAACTAGACCATCACGTAGCCAACAGAACATCTAGACCATCACGTAGCCAACAGAACATCTAGACCATCACTTAGCCAAAACAAGATCTAGACCATCACTTAGCCAACAGAACATCTAGACCATCACTTAGCCAAAATAACATCTAGACCATCACGTAGCCAACAGAACATCTAGACCATCACGAAGCCAACAGAACACCTAGACCATCACTTTGCCAAATTAACATCTAGACCATCACTTTGCCAACAGAATATATAGACCATCACATAGCCAACAGAACATCTAGACTATCACATAGCCAACAGAACATCTAGACCATCACGTAGCCAACAGATCATCTAGACCATCACGTAGCCAACAGAACATCTAAACCATCCCATAGCCAACAGAACATCTAACCATCACGTAGCCAACACAACATCTAGACCATCACTTAGCTAACAGAACATCTAGACCATCACGTAGCCAACAGAACATCTAACTATCACGTAGCCAACACAACATCTAGACCATCACGTATCCAACAGAACACCTAGTCCATCATGTAGCCAACAGAACATCTAGACCATCACGTAGCCAACAGAACATCTAGACCATCACGTAGCCAACAGAACATCTAGACCATCACGTAGCCAACAGAACCCTGAAGTCTTGTGTCTGCAGAAGAACTCAGTGAACTCCTCTAATAACCAACATCCAGCCACTAGGACCAAATCAACACTAATCCAGATAAAACTAGACAAGCTGTCTGAAATATTCAAAGCCTCATAGTATAGATGGATCAGTGGACCCCCAGGAAGAGTAGCTTTCAAGTCCAGCCCCACAGATAGCAGTGAGCAGAGCTCCATGGGAATCAGTCACTCACTGTTTTAGGGCCCCTCGCTGAGTAAAGCTTCCAGTGTGAAGACCGTGTTGATCTGCAGGGTTTCTATAGTCCCAATCAGCAACAAACAAACAAACAAAATACTTTTCTAACCGAGAGGAATAATGAGGAGTGGAGAAAAGGGACTGAGAGGCACGCACACAAAAGAGAGCATGTAAAGTGTTGTTACCTGACAGGACAGTGAATATGGCAGCGAAGGCGTTGAGTTTGAGGCCGTTGATGACGTTTCCTAAGTGACATGCCTCTATGGACATGAGGATGCCTCCGGTGGACAGGAGGAGAATATACAGACACTCTGCCACGATACACAGCCACAGCACTCCTACAGAAGGAGAGAGGGAGGGAGAGGGAGCGACAGAGAGAGAGAGGGGGGGAGAAAGAGACAGTGATGAGGGAGGGATGGAGAGGGAGGGGAATAGAGAGACACATAAACAGAGGGGGAGGTAAGGGAGTTGGACCAGTGACCCATTCACCATATCATTAACCTCCAGTGTAACGGTGAAGATGCATCTGTCTCTAAGAGAGAGACAGACAGACAGACCACTTGACTCGCTGCCTGGGTATGATGGGAAGAATGGTCCTTGATATGATCTATTACTATGCAACTACACAGTTATAACTGTAGTAACAACGTAGTAACAACGTAGTAACAACGTAGTAACAACATAGTAACAACGTAGTAACAATGTAGTAACAACATAGTAACAACATAGTAACAACGTAGTAACAACATAGTAACAACGTAGTAAGAACATAGTAACAACGTAGTAACAACATAGTAACAACGTAGTAACAACATAGTAACAACATAGTAACAACGTATTAACAACGTAGTAACAACATAGTAACAACATAGTAACAACGTAGTAACAACATAGTAACAACGTAGTAAGAACATAGTAACAACGTAGTAACAACGTATTAACAACGTAGTAACAACATAGTAACAACATAGTAACAACGTAGTAAGAACATACTAACAACATGGTAACAACATGGTAATAACACAGTAACAACACAATAACACAGTAGCAACACAGTAACAACATAGTAAAACCATAGTAACAATGAAGTCACAACGTAGTAACAACATAGTAACGACTTAGTATTACTATGCTATTACGTGGTCATAGGGTTTAGCGGTTATAAGACATCTGGAACAGGGACTGTGTAATTACACGTCCACTTGCTGAAGCTTATTCCAGCATGTTATTACACATCTTCTTGTTCCACTATAGCTAGGTTTCCATCCAATTTGAGACAGATTTTCATATGAATATTCTAAAATCTTAATAAAACAATATGCGCATTTTCCCACCAGAGATGTGTTTCTATCAAACTGACTATGTGCAGAAGGCTGTCCGTGATGACGTAGTGCATATAAGATAACGTTTGCCGTTAAATTCCCATGTACCGAATGAAAGATACAAGTTAAATTGGTTTCAAAACTCTACTGATGGTTTTGTCACAAACACTGTTGAGTTATATAGCAAATGTGCTTACACTGGTCTTGGCATATACGCTGTAGCCAACACTACACAGATACAGTGCGGGTAGACTACCTATTACTGAACAAAAAATATAAATGCAACATGTAAAGATCCCAGAAATGTTCCATACGCACAATAATATTAAGTTTCTCAAATGTTGTGCACAAATTTGTTTACTGCCCTGTTAGTGAGCATTTCTCATTTTGCCAAGGTAATCCATCCACCTGACAGGTGTGGCATATCAAGAAGCTGATTAAATAGCATGAGCCTTACACATGTGCACCTTGTGCTGGGGACAATATAAGGCCACTCTAAAATGTACAGTTTTGTCACACAACACAATTCATGCAATTGGCATGCTGACTGCAGGAATGTCCACCAGAGCTGTTGACAGATAATTGAATGTTAATTTCTCTACCATAAGCCGCCTCCAACGTCGTTTTAGAGAATTTGGCATTATGTCCAACCAGCCTCACAACTGCAGACCACGTGTAACCACGCCAGCCCAAGACCTCCACATCCGGCTTCTTCACCGGCTTCTTGTACATTTTACTCGCTAAAGTAGTTATTGCTATGTGTCTGAAACAGGGAATTGAATTTGAATGCTTTGAATATTAATCTTTGTTAAACCCATTATAGAAAAGTCAAACAGAACATTTTCTCCTTATTGCTCCTAGTAAGACTATTGACTGCAAAGGTTGTTACATTGTAATTACATAAGCAATTAACAAGTTATTTTACTTTACATTAAATTGCTTGCTCCTAGATAAGCACATTATAAAAATACATGTACATAATTTGTAACAACATTGTAATAAGAGTTGGTGGTTATAAAATGGTTATATTGTAAGTACAATGTAATTACAACGGTTATAATTAATATTATCCTGTCTCCTCATTTCTCCTGGTTAGCCTATTTCTCCAAAAGTGCTGTTACATTGTAACGACATAGTAATTAAAACGTTATTTCACTTTACATTAAGTTGCTTACTCCTGAGTGGGTACATTATAAATACAAGCGTATCCATTGTAACAACATTGAAGTTTACATAACATTTGATTGAATATACCCTTTGGGCCAGGTTAAAACATAGAAATAAACCACTGAAAACAAGCTGTGGTTAATGGCAAGGTGTGTCTTGTTACAATTCTTGTTACCAGCTCCTAGTTTATTAGATTAAGATGGTATTAACCCTGGGAATACCTGTGGATTTGACGGTAGCGGCACCATGTAGTTACAATTTGGTTATTAACATGGTAATTAACAGGTGACTTTCAAACGTGTAATTGCAAAACAGTAGTTACATAAGTGGAACAAGAAAATGTGGAATAACCTTCAGCAAGTGGGATGTGTAATTACACAATCCTTGTTCCAGTTGTTCAATAACGGATGTTGTTACTACGTTGTTACTACATGTTATTACTGTGTAGTTACATAGTAGTAGGGGGTAAGTTAATGTAAAGCGTTACCCCGTGGCTTGACAATAATAACTACATGTTATTACTAATTACATAGATTATAACACTGTTCGTTTCTTTGCTATAAGATCTGTGGGAAATGTTAAGCGCTGCCAAAATAACCATAGTTAGAATGTAAAAGTTAAAAGTAGGCCTGGCACTAGATGAATAATTTAATCTGTTCATATCTCTTAGCGATAGAGCAATCATTTTTTACTTGTTCCGACCAAACTCTTAAATGGGATTTCAAAGATTAATCAAAGGTGATCATTTTAATTTCATGGCAGGATTAAGGTGCATATTAAAAAGATGAAGGTAGTCTGTGATTTATTCAAATGAATCTCACATACGTGTCTCTTTTGCAGTTTTGTACTTTTTTTTTGGTCTACCTGAGAGTATCCCTTTAGCTAGTACTATAACTTACATTTCCTAGACAACGTATCCCCCATCACAAAAGCACAGAGAAAGGTATGGATTTATTGGATTAAATCGAATCATAACTGAGATCGAATCCATTAAAACCAACAAAAGTCAGTTAGAAATGTGTCATAATAATGCCCCTTTTGGGTTCAGAGACAGTAACATTGGACTCAAATTAGGCACAAAGAGGATGTGTGTGTGCGGGTGTGTGTGTTGAACAGTATTTTGTATTGAAGTGAATTAGGCACGGAGAGAATGTGCCGACACAGAGGAGGTCAAACAAACGAAGGAGGAATGTCTGACTGATTAAGGGCGGAGTGATAGCAGCGTGTGATTGTCAGATCAATTTTTTTCTTCCTCCACTGTTTCCATCAAAACTCCGTGGCGCAGAGGAAAGTCGTTGGCTTCAGTAACCTATAATCAGTTGGAATACCAGGTTCTCATCTTACATCATGCTTAACTTTTTGCCTTCAAGTTTACTATTTTTCTAAAACTGAAATCTATGGCATTATTAAGGATGTTTAAGACAGAAGCTTATACTCTACTAAATAAAACAAATTATTTGAACAACAGTGCAGAAAGTGTGGTTTCACATAAAGCATTTTTCTAAATAATGTCCCTTCAACAGGATTCAACCTCATACCGTCAGTGTTCCATAGTTCCCTCCTCGACCTGCTAAGATACCGGTCAGGAGAAACTACATCCTAACTATATGTGTAAGTACGGTGTCCAGTAGAGGTCGGTGTTTGAAAGCGGGCACTATTTCTGTTACATGTATTTGATATATGTATTTTAATACGTTCAATACCTATTTTATCATTTGCATTTCACTGGCCTGAACTACAATTCATGTAGCGTATTTTTTTTGGTACAGTTTAATTACAATACATGTTTTTATTTTACACAAATATATACTTGCAAGTTGACCGCTTAACTACAACATTCTCCGTAACACAATATTTTTACTTGCTATGACTGTGGTATTGTGATGAGTGTGATAGAAGGGTAAATCAGGAGGGTAAATCACAGAATACAGAGTTTATTCCTTCGTTACACAAAATACGCTGGAATAGCGACAAACGAAACACGCACAGGGGAAACTCTCTACCCTGGCAATACACTGTAACGGTATCTCCATACAATACATAGGCACAGGGGAAATATCTACCCTGGCAACAAAATGGTACGAGTAGCTCCACCGAGCTCCACTACTCTCACATACAAACAATCACTCACAAGGACAAGGCGGCAGAGGGAACACTTATACACCGACTAATGAGGGGATTAGAACCAGGTGTGTGTGATTGACAAGACAAGACAAATGTGATGATGATAATTGGGGCGGCAGTGGTTAGTAAGCCGGTGACGACGAACGCCGAAGCCTGCCCGAACCAGGAGGGGAGGCAGCCTCTGCGGAAGTCGTGACAGGTATATGCATGTTTACCTTAATTTCATACATTGATGTAAGTCGGTCTGGATAAGAGTGTCTGCTAAATGACCAAAATGAAAATGTCAAAATGAACACTTGCAAAGCACACTGCTGGGTATTACTGTATTCTGCCCCCAAACAAGGCCAAATGTGATTAAAATAGAAATAGATTAAGGCAGAGCTTATTAGAATAATACCAGCAGTGCGTTCATTTTTAACATTTACAGTTTGGTCATTTAGCAGACACTTTTATCCAGAGCGACTTACAGTCAGTGCATTCATCTAAGGTTGATTAAAAAAAACACATACACTAAATGACCAAAAGTATGTGGACACCTGCTCGTCGAACATCTAATTTCAAAATCATGGGCATTAATATGGAGTTTGTCCCCCCTTTGCTGCTATAACAGCCTCCACTCTTCTGGGAAGGCTTTCCACTAGATGTTGGAACATTGCTGCGGGGACCATTCAGCCACAAGAGCATTAGTGAGGTCAGTTACTGATGTTGGGCGATTAGGCCTGGCTCGCAGTCAGCATTCCAATTCATCCCAAAGGTGTTTGATGGGGTTGAGGTCAGGGCTCTGTGCAGGCCAGTCAAGTTCTTCCACACCAATCTCAACAAACCATTTCTGTATGAACCTCGCTTTGTGCACGGGGGCATTGTCATGCTGAAACAGGAAAAGGCCTTCCCCAAACTGTTGCCACAAAGTTGGAAGCACAGAATCGTCTAGAATGTCATTGTTTGCTGTAGCGTTAAGATTTCCCTGCACTGGAACTAAAGAGCCTGAACCATGAAAAGCAGCTCCAGACCATTATTCCTTCTCCACCAAACTTTACAGTTGGCACTATGCATTCGGGCAGGTAGGGATCTCCTGGCATCCGTCAAACCCAGATTAATCCGTCGGACTGGCAGATGGTGAAGCGTGATTCATCACTGCTCCAGAGTCCAATGGCGGCGAGCTTTACACCACTCCAGCCAACGCTTGGCATTGCGCATGGTGATCTTAGGTTTGTGTGCCATGGAAACCCATTTCATGAAGCACCCGACGAACAGTTCTTGTGCTGACAGTTTGGAACTCGGTAGTGAGTGTTGCAACCGAGGACAGACGATTTGTACGCGCTACGCGCTTCAGCACTCGGCGGTCCCATTCTGTGAGCTTGTGTGCTCAATTTTACACACCCAGTGTGGCTGAAATAGCCAAATCCACTAATTTGAAGGCCTTTAGTAATGTATCACATGTAGTGTAGTGTATCACAGTCATAGCAAGTAAAATGTTTCTGTAACCATTACTGGGAATGTTGCTGTAGTTAAGGATAGATTGTATCCTGTATTTGTTACACGGTACCTTTTGAATGCATCTCTGCCTATCTCTGGCTAGCGCAAGGTAAATCATTGTAATATTCACAGTAACGTTCCACCAGCTTCCTGTAAGTTACTGGAAAATGCAGAGCAATGGCACAGTACAATACTGTAAGAAAGTAAATGCTGCTGTAATCATGTTGGTATTTTACTGTAACTACATGGGATTGGTCAAGCAGGTTGGCCGCTAGATATTTGTACATTACAGAATATTTATGAATATTTGGTGTTTTATAACACTTGCACTTCTAGAGACCTAAACAAAAACTTCAAAACTGGCCATGATTACAGGATGTGGCTTAATATTCAACCAATAAAGGTTTAAGATCCACATTATACATTGAATTATTATGGCATTACTACCACATGTCAGTTGAATTGGTAAAGCATTCTCACTAACAGGTGCAACAAATGTAGCCACTTACAAGGCAAGCCTTCAAAGATGTTAATGAATCAGCGATTCTTTCCCCCTCCCCAAACATTTTTCCACAATGCACTATAATGTACAGAATGCTGCAGTGAATATACAGTAAAACAGCAATACAGTACTTTGTTAAATTGTATTTTAATAATACTACAGCAATTGGTAACAGTTATGTAATTCTATATTCCAGTATACCAATGAATCATTTGTATTTTATATCACTACCAGATATAGTAGAGGCCTTAAAGGGTAAATATTAAACCATTAACATCTTCAGGATAGGACCCCTTTTTTTCAATTTTCGCATCAAATGACATACCCAAATCTTACTGCCTGTAGCTCAGGACATGAAGCAAGGATATGCATATTCTTGATACCATTTGAAAGGAAACACTTTGAAGTTTGTGGTCCTGCGTTTATTTATTTTTATCATCTTTGAAATGCAAGAGAAAGGCCACAATATAATATTACAGTTTAGGCGCAATTTAGATTTTGGCCACTAGATGGCAGAAGTGTGTGTGCAAGGTTTCATATTGATCCAGTGAAGCATTGCAATACTGGACTATTTTGTATCAAGTCTGCCCAAATGTGCCGAATTGGTCAATTGATACCTTTTCAAGTATATAACTATACAGAACACACAAAAATGGTAAGGTAATACAAAATGTAAGTTTACACACTCCCAGGAATGTCAAACATGATGGATCATTAGCTTATACGCTAACTTTCACACATCTAGATGGCTGGGCGGGGTGGGTGTGGAGCCAGAGACAGCAGGGGTTCAAACTGTAGAACCCAGTTCCTACATTTGAATATAAAAATGGATTTTATCAAACAAAACTATGCTGCATTTTATCTCTGGGACCCTTAGCATGACAAATCAGAGCAAGATTACTGAATGTAAGTACATTATTTACCTTCAGAGGTGAATGTATCAAACCAGTTGCAGTGATACGTTTTTTGTTGTTGTGCACTCTCCTCAAACAATAGCATGGTATTTTTTCACTGTAATAGCTACTGTAAATTCGACAGTGCAGTTAGATTAACAAGAATGTAAGCTTTCTGCCCATATAAGACATGTCTATGTCCTTGAAAGTTTGCTGTTACTTTCAACAGTCATGCTAATCACGTTAGCTCAACCGTCCAGTATACGGGACACCGATCCCATAGAGGTTAAACTGTTTAAAGGTCCTGAACAGTAATTCTGAAAATTACTTTTTCTCTCATGGCTAACTACCAAGAAGTTTGAAAAGACAGGCTGAGTGGGCGGCGAGCTTCTATTCATAATTTACTGTAGACTTACAGGACATATATTTTATAAACACATACGATATGGTACTCTATTCAGTGGGGTAGAGCATTCTCACTAATGGTTGCAACAAATATAGCCACTTACAAGGCACGCCTCAAAATATGTTAATGTGACAGAGATTATTTCGACGCCCAAAACATTTTCCTACAATGCACCATCATTCACAGTATGCTGCTGTAAATATACAGCAAAACAGATCATACATTAATTTACTGTAAATTTGTATTATAAAAGTACAGCAATCGCTGTAATTTTACAGCAGTTTAGAGGAATGCCATTGAGCCCCCAAAATGCATTGGCCTTTATAGTACTGTACTGTAATATAGAGTTACTGTAAAAGTGTTGCTGTAAATTTACAGCAATTTGTTACAGTGCAGTAGCTCCCCAGGACAACGCAGCATTTCTAATCCTCTTAAATTCTGCTAGGTTTGCACTTTTTAATTGACACTTCCAAATAAATCTAAGGATCACTTCAATCTCAGTTGGGCCCTGCATGTGACCCTACTCCATGGTTATTAAGGGACTGGGTTCAATTTTCACGCTTTGAGCTGCACTTGCTATTCCTTATATGAGAGATGACTGGAATCTTGAAATAATAAAACCACATCCATAGCCATTCACAGATGCATAGAACATTTTTTGTTAACACATCTATTACAATGTAATAACATGCAATCACGCAAAAACCTACCTCTTTCGTGTGAAGGTGCAACATAGATGAAACTTCTGCAGTTTTCACCTGAAATAGAATATGCCACACAATCACACACAATACAATCAAACACTCAATCATCAGATTTCTAAAGTGCATGCCTTGGTAAAGGGTTGGCTAACCCAGTGCAGTCTTTAGCTCCATCCCTGTTGAAACACCTGATTCTACTACTCAGCTGCTCATCGGGACCTTGACCTAGAATTTTGATATCATGGATGGTCAGTCCTTGTATCCGTAGTGCTGTCTATGAATTTGAGAGCGGTTACATTTCTTCAGCCCCATTCCTCCGTTTTTTTTTTTTACAAAACAGTGGCGGGGTTCCCGCTTTGTTATTGTTTGAACTACAGCAAAATTAAATATTATGATTTTTCTAGTTTCTCATCTGTTTATTAGAACACGTGTTTGTTCGTTTTTTTTTGCATGTAAAATGTACCTATTTGATTGTGAACATTTCAGAGAAAAACAACCACAGTCACATTTTGTAGAATTTTGTGTGAGTGCGTAATTACATACAGACGATTATGTTAATGTGTGTGTGAGTGTGCTGGCAGCTCACATAAAAGCTATGGTCATTTCACTCAAAAGACAAGAACGAATACATAGACATAGCCTACAAATTAGCAGTCTTTGATTCTGAGAACCCAATTGTAACTTTCAATTAAAAAACAGGCTAGTTCAATGCGTACAGCTGCGTCACATCGCAGTGCGCGAAAAAGTTTTTCTCCAGGAGTTTATCTCTCTTACCTGTCATATTGACGTTCTCCTCGCACGAAAACCAGATCCCGGTGTGGAACTTCCTCATGAGGTACTTATCTTCACCGGTCTCCCAGATGTACTGGACCAGTCTGCTATCATTAATGTTCGAGCTGTTGAACCTGATACAGAACGACTGTCTGGTGGTGGTGACGGGTCCGGTACAGAAAGGTTTCGCCACTTTCCGTGTCCCCTCGCACCAGTAGCTGGTAGTCAACGCAGACACGGCTAGAATCAGCGCGAGGAAGTTCAAGGTAAGAGCCAGAGATACTCTCCGCCGCCGGTCTATCCCCCCCATAACAGCAACCGGGAATGGGAGACGCGCTTTTCCCAACGTTTAATACAGTATTTGGCGAGTTTTCCTTAGATCCTCCCACAGCAGGCTAATCCGGCTTTCCGTTACTATACTACAGGTAATTACAGCTGCGCGAGACTACTGCATGTCGAGACAATCCTCAGATATGCTCCTTTGAGTCTGATACTCTGACTCTGTATCTACCACTCCTCCTCATCATCATCATCCTCCTCCACCCCCCCCCCCCCCTCTCTCTCTCTCTCTTTCATTCCCTTTTTTTTTTTTACATCTCTCCTCTCCATCATATCAGTGATGGTGTGTGTGTGTGTGTGTGTGTTTGTGTTGTGTAATTGGTTGAGTCCCTTGGCATCACAGTCAGCATTCCTTCTCCCTAACCTTGCTCCCTCTATCATGACCCCCCCCCCCCCCCCCCCCCCCCCCCCCCCACACACACACACACCACATGACACACACATGAGGACATTCTATGAGTGCACTGATGTGTCATCACCCATGGCAACACACACTTGTTTCCACACATTCACACTCACTCGCTTGCATCAAAACAAGATTCATTACAGTATTAATGACAGTAATGCATGAAACCAGATTCATTACAGTATTAATGACAGTAATGTATGAAACCAGATTCATTACAGTATTAATGACAGTAATGTATGAAACCAGATTCATTACAGTATTAATGACAGTAATGTATGAAACCAGATTCATTACAGTATTAATGACAGTAATGTATGAAACCAGATTCATTACAGTATTAATGACAGTAATGTATGAAACCAGATTCATTACAGTATTAATGACAGTAATGTATGAAACCAGATTCATTACAGTATTAATGACAGTAAGTATGAAACCAGATTCATTACAGTATTAATGACAGTAATGCATGAAAACCAGATTCATTACAGTATTAATGACAGTAATGTATGAAACCAGATTCATTACAGCATTAATGACAGTAATGTATGAAACCAGATTCATTACAGTATTAATGACAGTAATGTATGAACCAGATTCATTATGGCATTAATGACAGTAATGTATGAAACCAGATTCATTACAGTATTAATGACAGTAATGCATGAAACCAGATTCATTACAGCATTAATGACAGTAATGTATGAAACCAGATTCATTATGGCATTAATGACAGTAATGCATGAAACCAGATTCATTATGGCATTAATGACAGTAATGTATGAAACCAGATTCACTACAGCATTAATGACAGTAATGTATGAAACCAGATTCATTACAGCATTAATGACAGTAATGTATGAAACCAGATTCATTACAGTATAATGACAGTAATGTATGAAACCAGATTCATTACAGTATTAATGACAGTAATGCATGAAACCAGATTCATTACAGTATTAATGACAGTAATGTATGAAACCAGATTCATTACAGTATTAATGACAGTAATGTATGAAACCAGATTCATTACAGTATTAATGACAGTAATGTATGAAACCAGATTCATTACAGTATTAATGACAGTAATGTATGAAACCAGATTCATTACAGTATTAATGACAGTAATGCATGAAACCAGATTCATTACAGTATTAATGACAGTAATGTATGAAACCAGATTCATTACAGCATTAATGACAGTAATGTATGAAACAAGATTCATTACAGTATTAATGACAGTAATGTATGAAACCAGATTCATTATGGCATTAATGACAGTAATGTATGAAACCAGATTCATTACAGCATTAATGACAGTAATGCATGAAACCAGATTCCATTAACAGCATTAATGACAGTTAATGTATGAAACCAGATTCATTATGGCATTAATGACAGTAATGCATGAAACCATTCATTATGGCATTAATGACAGTAATGTATGAAACCAGATTCACTACAGCATTAATGACAGTAATGTATGAAACCAGATTCATTACAGCATTAATGACAGTAATGTATGAAACCAGATTCATTACAGTATTAATGACAGTAATGTATGAAACCAGATTCATTACAGTATTAATGACAGTAATGTATGAAACCAGATTCATTACAGTATTAATGACAGTAATGCATGAAACCAGATTCATTACAGTATTAATGACAGTAATGTATGAAACCAGATTCATTACAGCATTAATGACAGTAATGTATGAAACCAGATTCATTACAGTATTAATGACAGTAATGTATGAAACCAGATTCATTATGGCATTAATGACAGTAATGTATGAAACCAGATTCATTACAGTATTAATGACAGTAATGCATGAAACCAGATTCATTACAGCATTAATGACAGTAATGTATGAAACCAGATTCATTATGGCATTAATGACAGTAATGCATGAAACCAGATTCATTATGGCATTAATGACAGTAATGTATGAAACCAGATTCACTACAGCATTAATGACAGTAATGTATGAAACCAGATTCATTACAGCATTAATGACAGTAATGTATGAAACCAGATTCATTACAGTATTAATGACAGTAATGCATGAAACCAGATTCATTACAGTATTAATGACAGTAATGTATGAAACCAGATTCATTACAGCATTAATGACAGTAATGTATGAAACCAGATCATTACAGTATTAATGACAGTAATGCATGAATCCAGATTCATTACAGCATTAATGACAGTAATGCATGAAACCAGATTCATTACGGCATTAATGACAGTAATGTATGAAACCAGATTCATTACAGCATTAATGACAGTAATGCATGAAACCAGATTCATTACAGTATTAATGACAGCAATGCATTAAACCAGATTAATTCAGTAGTGGTGCATGGGTAAAATCATTGGGGAAGCCAATCCAGAAAAGAAATCCATTTTACAACCTATGTGTTGTGATAATTGCTTTGTTTGCTCTGTAACCTGTTAGTTCATATGCCTTGCCACTGTGATATATAGACCTAAAGGCCGAGACAATAAGAAGACACAGTGGCAGAATAAATTCAACCTTACATTTGTTTCATCACAAAACCAGAGCACAGGGGTGAAGGTAAGGTGGTACGGTCCGGTACAGTACTGCATCCAGGCAAAATAAATAGTAGGGGTACGCCGTACCGGTAAAACGTGAGTTTATCACAATAAATACAACATCCCCAAAAACTATAGGCTATTACACAATTTTTGAACATTACTGCATGTCAGCCACATAATTTTTTTATAATTGACTGGAAACCGGGTGGTATATGCTCCAAATTGCATTGTGGTCTGAGGAGAACACTTCCATTTTGTCAAGGTGAGTGGCCGAGACCGAGGCGTGTGCGGACAACAGCGGATGCGTCAATTCAGGCTACAAGTGTCGGCCCAATGACAATCACAGAATGTCATTACAACACACGTAGGTGTTCTGTAACAGATGTCACTTTCCATTCATCAAATTGCGGGTTGGGGTTTGGATGTTGAAATGATTTTGTGAGTGGACGAATGTGCACGGGGTAGCCTACAGGAGCGCCTTTGTTAAGTGTGACAATCAGATGAAAACAGAATGTTCTGGTTGTGTTTATGCTACATTAAAATGCATAGGCTATGTGTCCATAAGGCTAGAGGAAGCTAAGCTTTCCCTAAAGTAAATTGAATTAAATTGCCAAAATGATAGTATAGCCTAAATAGCTTACTCCTGTCTATACAGAAATAAATAAACTCATTCAATATAGGCTACTACACCAGAAAGGATGACTTGGCCACAGGGGGTCATTTACATTTTAGCAGACGCTCTTATCCAGAGCGACTTACAGTTAGTGAGTGCATACATTTTTCATACTGGCCCCCTGTGGGAATCAAACCCACAACCATGGTGTTGAAAGCGCCATGCTCTACCAACTGAGCTACAGGGGACTATTGCTTCTTAATAAAAAAATTATAATGTTATGGCATAGCCTACAGTCTGAAGGGCCCGCAATTTGGGCAGCGCGCGTTGCAGATACCAAATAGATGATTGTTGAGTTGTGACTGTCAGTGAAAAGCAGAGAGACCCAGCCAGGCATATCGCAATATTTAAAAATACAATCGCGGAAAAACAGTTTGGGAGCAAATGGCTATTGTTGTAAAGAGATGACAATGAAATGACTCCAATCTGTCTTTTAGTTATCCAAATTCTTAACTTAATTGAGCAAACAGTAGCCTATCTTATTGGCACCAGCAGAGAACATCGTCCATATCCCCAGTGAGTGTACATATTCACTGTCTTTATCATTGGGTCTGTGCCACTTGTTTGTTTTAGGACAATAATTTCCTCCTTTAGGTTAGATGGACGTCATATTGTATTTGTGTCTCCCGTTTTCGTAGGCTAATTATACGGATCAGACAACATCGTTTTATTGATCAGTTTGTCAGTGTCACAGAGTAGCCTACCCCATAATTTTTGTAGTATAAAAAAAAAGGAAATTAAATCTACTTTCACCCCGGAGAGCAACATCTGTCCGATGAAGTCCACAAAACATATTGCACATAACAAACAGTTACATGACCTACGGCATGGTCAAGCAAGGTAATGTTTCTGACATTTTCAGACTACTAAACAACTCTTGATTTAGAACCACAGAGGGTTACCTCAAGTCACAAAGAAAACAGGAGCTGCCTCCACTATTCCAGCACCATTTCAACTTCAACATCATCAAATCACCTATGCTTTGTCTAATACAGTGACAACTAAAATATACCAAAAACGATTTAGTCCAATCAACGTAAGCTAAATATGATGTGGCTGTCCATGGTACTGATTTATGTGTGTGTGTGTGTGTGCGTGCAAGTAGAACAAACATATTGGCTCAACCTACTTGTAGAGAAACACCAATGCCATCCTCCTCTTTCATGTTGCCTAAACTGTCTATGACTCTGTCACACAGTACACACTTTTAGTTTTTGTCGTCCTCGGCTACCTGGCTAAAATGCTTCCTTGCTAGCCTAACTTCCTTTCATGGGCAAAGATGAGCCAGCTAGTTAACATTAGCCATCTAGCTACATATTGAAT